GTAAATGTGTTCGTTATTAACATCTCATGTAAAGGTTTACAGGTGAATAGTTAATATTTTCTCTGTTCTAATAAAAGTAAAGTGTTTCATTAATGGTATGGCTACATTTATTAACTATTGAAAATGTATAGTATATATAAGCTTATATAAAAATCACGAATCGTTTATATGTACGGTGATTATAAAACATTTATTTGTTCATTTTGTTCAGTTTGTTCTTAAATGCACAAATAAATGTTTTATAATCAATCAACCGAATGCCTAAATGATGCGTATTTCAGGCATTCAGAAAAGACACACAGATTAGCTCGTATTTAGATAACCTATCTTTCTTTCTTCATTTATTATTACTACTTACAATCCTTAAATTTCTACCCAACGTAGGAAAAAATATAGTAAGAAATGCTATAAAGCACGTGTTTTACAAAATTTGAATGGATTACACTTACAAATCAATGTTAATAGAATAGAACAACTTAACAATAAGGTTGTTTTATTCAAGAACGTGATATGTCGAAAGCTATTGATTCATATATCGTAAATAAGATCGTAAGTTGTGGTTTTATTTCCTTGTATCGATAAAGGATGTCTGCGAAATCCCGTTTTCCTAGGGACCTGGGGTAAACCGGTATGTGTCCGGTTTAATAATTAACTGGCCAATAGCTGATCAGGCTTCAAAGAATCGTAAACTTATGTTCGGCCGGGATACGACCTCTCACGTAAAACTTACAGCTAGTAATAGGATAGTCGACAAATTAGATAGCCAATTAAAAGTGTTTATTTTTAGACCTAGAAACATAAAGGAATTACAAAAATGCGAGCTTCGAATAATGAATTAACGTAAGAAACATTTTTTTACTAACATCAATGAGGGTTAGCTTATTTTATGCTGGTCAGCTATTTACATTTGAAAAAAGGGATCAATGTCGCATGTTGTGCATGTGCGCATCAGGTAGAGAAAAATAGGTAGCTTAGATAATCTATGTATTTTTTTATTGCTATACTTGTGTATACCAGAAAAACCTAAATAAGGGAGCGGTGACATCGTCGAGACCAAACAATAAATAAATATGGAGTCGCAGGTTCGAGTCCAACTTAACAATAACAAGACTAACGATAAGAATAACCTTACAAACAACAACGGTACAATAACAGCTGTAGTAGTTTTACGGCGCCACTAATAAATAACAAACAATAGAATCTATTATAGCGATACCATTAGAAGGGTTTTGTTATGAAATATTGTTACAGATTCAGATGTAAAGTTTGGAAGAAAGGTGCGCCTGCGTCAAGGTAACGTTCACATTCTGTACTCATCGCGAAAGAGAGAAATCTGTGGAGTGTGTTACGGTACGAACAGTAAATAAGTGTTTCAAAAATACATTCTGAATTCAAATAATCTCTACTTATATTGTAAAGGTGACAAGTTTGTTTGTTGTTTCGCGCTAATTTCAGAAACTGCTAGTTCGAATTGAAAAGTTCGTCTTTTGTGTTCGATAGACCATTTATTGAGGAGGGCTTTAGAATATATAGAATATAACATCACGCTCTAACAGAAACAAAGAAAAATGGCATTATTATGATGAATCAGAGATGTCTGAGGGGTTCCGTTGCGTGCCATGTGAAAGCGGTATGATACCTACGGTATAAAATACTGATTCAAAACAAACATTGTATTGTTTATTTTAAAAACACTATTATATAAATGCATAAAATATATATATTATGTTTTATAAAAAACAACACTTAAGTATTAGTTTATAATAATCTCAAAGTTTAAGCAAGACTAATGAAGTCTCCACACATTTTTTCTTCTGGCATTTGGTTAAAGGTTAGAATTAACTGTGCTTCGAACTGGCTACACTTAACATGGCTATATTTCATGAACTACTACTATTACTGTCACATTAAGCATATAAAATTACTTATCATCAATCATTAAACTTTATGTACACTTAATAGGCCCTAATAAGGTATAACTACGATTTTAGTTTTATGACATACTAGCTGAGCCCGCGACCTCGTTCGCGTGGAATAGTGACTTGGGGTAGAATTTTTAATTATTTAGGCTGTTTATAAATTTATGTAATTGTGCATTTATCGCAGCCTATCTATGTTGTAAGTGCTACTTTGCCGCTACACTCTCATCTCACATTCTGACTCCCACTCTTATTCTCACTCCCACTCCCACTCCTATTCCTAAAGAAGAAAGTTTCATTGTTTTAGCTACAAAAACCACTTTCGCCCCCTTTTAAACCCCTTTTCGCAATAAAAAGTAGCCTATGTAACAGTTCTCTCAGGGTCTAGACCATCTGTATACCAAATTTCATTCAAATACGTTCAGTAGTTTTGGCGTAAAAGAGTAACAGACAGACAGACAGACTGAGTTACTTTCGAATTTTTAATATTAGTACAGATGAAGGAATACGTATAAACAGTTAATATTTTAAATGAATCGCGCTGTCGTTCTTGAAAGTTAATCTTAAAAGATAGACATATAGTGTCACCGACATTTTTTTAGATTATTTAAAGAGGAATAATTTTTTCATAAATATATTTTTGGGTATTTTGAACCGTTTACGCAGCGTACGGATTGTAAACTCCGTAAGATGAATAATTATCCCGTTTTTGCCCCATTTTCTGCTGTTTCGTCGGTCCTATTGGTCACATCGCCATAGCATATAGCCTTTTTGACAAATGCTCTAACCAAGACAAAAATATTTTTTAGTTCAAACAAATTATATTCTAAAACTATTCAGCTTTATACCTTACTATAGAAGTATAGATATTAGAGAGAAGAACGCGAGTTTCTTTGAAACCAAAACGAAATATTCCATTAGTTGGTCAGTATTAAATCAATAAATTTCAGCTACTCTAAACCCATTGACAGCTTTGCTTATTTAAAAAAAACACTTATTTGAAAATGATTTTTAACTTTGGCCCCACGTTTCGGATGCTTTGCAGCAGCCGTGGTCACGGGGACAAGTCTTTTTTACGTTTACGACGTTTTATTATTATATTATAAGCATTTGTAAAAAGTTATCGAACTTCGTATTGGGTGATTCGTTTGCCGGGATAGTTAACCACGTAGAGTGCACACTCTCGATTGTATGCACTTTTCAATGAACTTAAGAAAGTTAAATCTAGTGGCTACATTTTGTGTGATACATGAGGTGGCAAGGAAAGAACATGCAGGTTGTGTGCTCGAAAAAGTTTGTATGCACCCAGGCTAATGTGACTTTCGTGGTTCTCTAGTACTAGCTGTGCCCGCAACTTCGTCCGCGTGGAATAGTGACTTGTGTGTAAGTGCTACTTTGCCGCAACACTCTCACCTCACTTCACTCCTACTCTAACTCCCACTCTCATTCCTACACTACACAAAAAAAATAGAAAATCAACGAATATGGACTCATTTATCCAACCGGAATCAGAAACTGAAGCAATCATGTCGCTATTACAGCCTTTCAGCAACAGTTCACTCATTCGCTTTCTTTTAAAGATGAACATTGGAAATACATAAACACCATTGCCACTTACGGCACAAACCACGGTTGTGGTGACACCACGTTCTCCACTTGTCGCCTTTGCAACTTGCTTTGTTGAATTTGCTTAAGTAAGGTTGTTTTTGGCACGGAATATTTCATGGCTGCTTTGCCCAAGCTGTTTACTCCTAACATCATTTACAACACGGCGAAGATCTTCAATATCATAGCTCGATGTGATATTTCTTTTATAATGACGAGGCATCTAAAACAATTTTTAGTGTTAAATATTTTTACAAGATCAATGAGTTGGTCAATGAGAGGTACTTGGGAACGTTCCCGTTTACCCTTCTGATACCGTTCCTAATTACGCGAAGTAGGCAACTCAAATCAAAATGGCCGTTACTTGCAAAATTGTCTTAAATGATTTTAAAGCTACATGCACAAACAGGTATTACATAAAAGATATTAACAATGCTGCTGAAAAATTATAACGACAATACGTAATAATGATGTTTGAATCACCGTGACAGTATGCGTGTCTTCTCTTTTACACTTCTGCGGGCAATGTAAGGGCCCCCGAGCGAGTCTACTTAAACGTATGCCTGCGGTATACTGCGGGGGGAAGTGTTCGATATTTACCCGCTGTTCTCAAAAACCCCACCTTCCCCCTATATATATCAAACATGCAATAAATTCAAATAAAAGATTAAAAATATTCAATAAAACATTTATTATGTCAATCACAGAGATTTTAAAACATCTATCTAAGTAATATATATGTTATGATAGCTCGTATAAAAATAAATAAAAGTATATCAAACTTAGAGGTTAAATAAATTATATTTAAACTTAAAATATAAATGCATCTTCTTATTAATAACCATAAAAGTAATGTTTAAGATTGTCTCTAGCTTTTTAAAAAGCTTGAAGAAAATACTGGTTTGAAACAAAATGGCTGCTAATTCGGAATACAGAGTAAAATCGAATTGTCAATTGTCAAAATGTGCTCTTCTAACCTATAAAACTGTACAAAACAAAACTTAGTAACAAAATTGGTCTTATTTACCTAAGTCATTAAGTACGTGAATCACAATAATGCAATATCTAAGCTATTAATAAGTTATTTAAGTAGGAACATCGGTGTCGGCGGGTAACTTGGCTGTATCGAGTCTCGGGAGTTCTGAAAAAGTATATAAAAGATAATTAATAGATTTAAAATAATACGATATCAAGGATTTTATATCGTATTCAATATCTGGCTTGTGTAAAGAAATAACATCAGTCATCAGACACAAATCTGTATCCAAATATTATTATTTAATGGCAATGAAAATTTCCACACTTATGTGCCATTACCGACCTACATTATGTTTATTAGGACCTATCCTAATAAACATAATAATGTTTTAGTTATTAGAACAGTCTTAATCACCGAGTCCCGTAGGCAGCCTGTACACTGCCTGTGTTATTTAATGTTAATTTTTTTTAATATGTTGTATATTACTCCTTACATACCTAAGGTAAGTGTGGGTAGAGGAAGGTTGTAGCAGAGTCACTCCCATACATGTTCTTAACTGTGCAAGTATAGACACCCATGTCGTCAAAATTGAGATTGTTGATGTGTAAATCACCAGATGGCAGTACCTACAATAAATCAACTTTAGTAAGATTTTGCACAGTTTATATCGCGATATTATTTTAAAAACAAATGTCCTAAACTTGTGACTTATTATTTACACTATTGGCATCTTCCTTGCAACTGTAGTGATATCGCTAGGCAGACACCGCTGTCTGTTCCACTTGAGTGCTAAAGTAAATCTAGCTAAAAGTATGACATGTGTACTTAAGCATCTCTTTCTTTCTTACTTTTAACTTTTGGTTTCCATAAACGACATTTTCATTATTATCCAGCCAGTAGACCTTGGAATTACTAGTGCTGTATGAGCGACACGGTAAGGTTGTACTCGAACCCTGTACTTGGAGGATGTCTTTGAAATACGCGGTGATCAATGGTGGTGTAGGCAGTTCCAGTATAGAGAGAATGTCTTCAGAAGCTGCAAACATATTATATTATAGTTATAAAGTATGTATATGTGTCAAAATTGTTTATCTCTCTGTGTGCTTTGTAGCTCATTGATTAAACACAGAATGTAATAGGTCCTGTGTTCGAATTCCGGAGAAGCAATAAATTGTTTCCGTCGGTTGGGAAACAAAAGCTTGATCAAATTGTCTGTAAAATCTATTTATGAAATTGATAAATAAACTTATTATTCCCACGACTTATAATTGTTTGTTTAAATTAAAAATAAATCTAGTCGTACACCATCAGTGAAAACCAGAAATATACAAATTTAGTTATCAACAAAAGGACAGGCAATATTTCTCAAGAAACACATTGCGTTTATAAAAGTATGGGCGTAAAGCCTCTTACATTATTTAATTTGAGTGACTATTACAATACTGTCGTAAACTACAGACAGTATATATTATTGTAACACAAAAACATACCTTCATCAGTCAAGACCGTGGTCGAAGCGGTTTTCTCATACACTCCAGCAGTTCCAACACAGGTGTAAACATCGCCGTTCGAAGGTGACGGTATGACTAACTTGCTCATCATCCTGGCAACGCTGATGGGATGGCTACTGAAGATTTCATTGGAGTCTTCTTCAAACTGCAAGTGATAAAATACTAGTTAGAAAAAGCAACAATGAACATAGATAAAATTCAGAAAGCGTACATAGAATCATTGAAAGAAAGAAAAAATTATTTATTTCCAATCATAAAAAAATAGTTACATAAATTCAATACTGAAATTTCATTGACCCCATAGGACATGGGGGAACGCATTTCCGTGTCCATTTGACGAATCGCTTTTATTTACAGATAAATAGTAAATAGAAGGAAACAATCTATTGTTCCCCGGAATTCGAACCTAGGACCTGTGCTTAGGACGTGCTTAACGCAATGCTAAGCAACACGATTAATAACACGAAATAATGTCATCATGTGCAATAACATTTCACATGTTACAATATATAAAGAAAAGATTTCAAACAGAATGTATTTTTTTTATCCTAGTTTGAAGCATTAACAAATAAATGCACTCTGTAGTTTATGGGAGTAGCACTTTAACGGCTTAAAACACATAGTTAAACATATTTAAAAAATATTTTAACCACGGCCCGACGCGGACATTTCGACAGACGTGACCACGTAGTTATAATATTTTTAATGTTATCTGATATTTTTCCCGTTTTAAACCGTTGAAATGATTTATTTAAATATTTACTTTCGCTAATAATAATTATTTAAAATGTTTGAACTTGGTGACGCTGCTTACATCTGTAATAGGAAGTCCATTCTTCAGCCAATTGACAACGGGAGCAGGTTTTCCGGCTACCTCACACTGCAGTACTAGTGGAGCACCAGGCTCGTGTTTCACCGTTTGTGGTGGTGGTTGGCTTATTTTCACATATTTGGGGATTGTTTTCCTGCGTGGAACTGGTATTTCTAGAATGAGAAATAACTTATTAAGTGCAGGTGACTCCGTTATTGAGCGGGCGTAGAAGACATCAATTTAAATGATGACTTATTTAATAATGTATATATATTTATTTTAAAATCACTTATGACGCATTTAGGCTGACGAAATAAAAGTATAAGCTGCGTAGCGCTTATACACTTCAATTGTTTTAGAATGAATTTAGAATGAAGGATGGTCTTAACAAAAGCATGTTTTTTTGGAAATGCGTAAATCTATACTATTGTTTTAATGCTGAAGAGTTTGAGGAACTGGTGGCTCGATTTGAATAATTCTTCATGCAGTTACAGTATTTATCGAGGAAGGCTTTAGGTTATAAAACATCACGATGCGACTACTAAGAGCAGATACGGTGGGAAATGTGGAAATAACGGGACACATTTTGACGTTAGGTGTTTCTCTTGCGTGCCCTGTGAAAACGGTTTCAGAACAAACAATATGTATGAAAGAATCATTCCTCTTTAAATAATCTAAAAAAAAAATTGCGACAGTATATAATATCTATCGTTTAAGATTAACTTTGCAAAAATAACGAGACCCGAACTGTAACAGCTTGTTTATAAAGATGAGGAAGTTCGCAAAACAAATTTTGACGCACAAAATAACTATTCGATGCGGAGGAAGTCACTGACTCAGCTAGTAATAAAGGCAAGTCGATCTTGAATTGAAACTCAAATGTTTGCACTTATAAAAGCCGCGGTACAATTTTTTCCTCCAAGTGCGAAAAAAAGTCTAGATTCATTCAGGACACAGTGATAATGCGAACATCTGGCGACTACATTGAATCCCAAAGCGTCTCCTATATTAGAAAGTTAAATTTGCACAAAATCTAGCCAAAATTTTACATAGTACATGATATAAACAGTGACCTTTCCTAAAACGGCTTGCGGAAGATTTTGGACATAACAATTACCAATAAGGAATACTTAAGATATTTATACTTATGATATTAGAGCCAGAGTAGCCTAACTTCAATTTTATAGTTCTTATTTATATTTTTCTAGTCTAAAAATGTTAATCTACAAGAGCACAGTGACCGACAAATGTGAAGATAATTCTTACACAAATAATACAAATAGTACAAATTCATTTTCGCCTAAGTTAATTGTATATTTTTATTTTTCTCCTATAGAAAATAATTTTGTTAATAGGCCACTCTGCCTCATATATGGGTCAATGAAATGCAACCACGACATTTTAAGTTCTTTACAGCAGCCATGCTCACGTGTCTATTACAAACATTAATTATAGAAGTAGGTTTGTTTTTTAAGTACGTAACTTAAAAACTGCAACACCAATATGTAATAAGAAATATATCGTAGACCTTGAAAACCGATATGTAAGATTTTACATAGCCTCACGTTTGACAAATAAGGGACATTAAAAACTTATACATTTATGTATGTGGTTTACTGCTGCATGAGCGGATGTGAGGAAAAATAAAACGAGCAATAAATTTGAATTGTATTTCATGATTTCCGCTAAAACTCGAATATTTATCGAATTGATTATCATATAAGTAGATGAGTAAAGCTCTAAGACTCCTAAACAGTCCTTTTTTAAGTTTATCCTAGAGTATAGACTTATTTTTTTTACATTACATGAGGTAACAATGTTTGCTCATACGGAAGTTGACTTAACCAACACACATATAGCTGTAATACCAACATAATAAAAAAAGGGTACGCAAGGTCTAATGATAGCAACGAATAAAAAGTAAGAGAATCTTGTTGAACATATACATTCACCTAAAGACTATTATTTTTATATCACTATTGATATTTAAATAAAACACTCTAACGGTTTAAAACGCGATATATTAGTTAAACTTATTCGAAAATGATTTTTAACTTCGGCCCCCTTTTGGGGGTCCTTCCCCCCGCGCCCCCGGCTGCTACAAAGCATCCGACGTTGCCGAAGTTAAAAATCATTTTCAAAGAAGTTTAACTAATATATCGGTTTTAAACCTTTGGTGTTTTATTTAAATGTGTACTACTCACGTCAACTATAGACAGTATTTACTATTGATAGTTAAAACGACGCAAAATCAACCGCGCTTTGACCTACTCGTTAGTCTATGTTGTAATAATCAACGGGCAGTGCTTCGATTCCCACCAGGCCCAAAATGGTTCTAATCAAATTATAATTTTTCTGAAACATGTTGGGCTTCGTCTCGAAATCTGATTATTAAATGAGCGGTAGGAATATTTGATTCCGAAGAAATTCCGGTTTCACTTTGTGGATTTCCGAATATCCAATGCCATAATAGGTCAAAGCACATCTCGTTAAATTTTATATGGCTAAGGTGTTTCACCTTCTATCAAATAAACCCTTAGTCTTCTCTATTATTAAAAAAGAAGTTATGCTTACCATTTGATTCTAGATTATTATTACTTATAATCTTTGGTCTTTCGATCAGTGCGTTCGCTTCGTAACATTGAAGCGACACCAGCGCCGCTGTGACGAGTAGCGAAACTAAATTAAGCATTCTTCTTTCTTGTGTAGATGGCGTTGAATGAGTATTATGCGATATCTATAAAAGAAAATTAGTGTTAACACATCTATGCCTTAGCCGTATAATTTTCAATTCTTTGCCAACAGATATTTAAATTTAAAAGGTAAAGTTGCGCTTGGATATAATTTGTTTGGTATTTATATGAAAGATTGTATTAGGGGAAAACCCGGGGACCATTTTTCGAAATAATGTTATCCTTTATACGCAATTTACGTACATGACGACATAGTAAAGAATAATTACACAGAGAATGATTACGATTTAGTTTTATTTAAATGCTTGTAATAATTTTCCAGACAAGAGCTCAAATACATTAAAGAAATTGAACTACCCTGCAAATTGGTAGAGCAATGGCACGGCACACGTTACTCATGTGTTCGAGTCTCGTGCGTGTCATTTTATTAAACTGTAACTAAATGAGAAAAAAGCTTTTTTACTGTGTAATATGCAAAAATCCCGAAGTATGGGCAATGATAGGTTAGTAGAAATTATTATTAACTTTGTAATATATTTCTATAGTGATGGTGTATTTGAGTGCTATATATATTGTTTATTCAAAATTTTCGGACGGTTGGATTGAAAAAGAAAACCATCATCAGTTCCAATTACACCAGAACCACATTTGTTTGAATCAGCAATGCGCTGCCGGCCTAATATCCTGAACATAAAAGACCGATCACTCGACTTACTAACAATTCAATAAAATGTGTGACCAATTTTATTTTTTATACCTACTTACATTAAGTTAAGCAGTCCAAAACACTATCACTCACTTTCACTCACTATAAGGAAATTTGGTGATTTTTTTTACCCTTGATCGTTAAAAACACTTGTGATATTTGAGTATGCCAATAAAGGGTATCGAAGACCTTACCTTACGACGGTGTTGTCTCTAATACGATTCTAAGTAGAATACGATCCTGAACACAGAATCAACCCTTATATACAGATTGTGTTGTGCTATCACACTAGGTGGTTTTTCCTTTCGAATTTATTTCAATTATTTTCTTATCTGATAAATTATATAATGCTATGTAATCTATTTTAAAAGCCTTTAAGGATATTTTTGAATTTAGAACAATAATTAATTGTGTAAAACTAAAATATACTATTCATAGTTACAAGCCTAAGATATTTCTCGGTATACCTTTAAAATTAAATATTTTTTTGTTATTCTCTTTAATGTAAAATGTATTGTGAAAGGCAAGTTAAAGCTTTACAAATCATAACAGAACTAAATAGTGTCATCGAATTGGCATCGTCTGCATTGTAATTAAAGTAAATATGCAAGTACGCCCGTAGACGGTTTTCGTAGAAAGATATTTTGCGGAGTATGCATTTTTGGCGCTTCGTTCCGACCGAAACGAGCTAGATAAATTTAATTAGATCGATTATGTTTGTAGATGAATTAGAATAAGTATCAAATACTTATATATATTCATACACATATATATTTTGTAAGATAAAAAATAAGTGTTTTTAATATGTTTTGTTCCTTGTTTATTTTTATTGCAAAACAACTATGTTTTAGACTTACTTTTTTAAACTTTATTTTCTCATGTAGGTACAATTGCAGAAATAAGTAATAACAATATTTCCAATTTAAATTTACGTTTAAAACGAGATATATAAGTTAAACTTATTTGTAAACTATTTTAACTATGGCCCGACATTTCGGATGCTTCGCAGTACGGGGAGATAATTTTCAAATAGGAACTCACGTTTTAAACTTTGAAGAGGTTTTATTTAAATGTTAACTACTAGCGTAAACTACGGACATATAAAATTATATTATATTTTATTAAGTATATGTAATATTCTATGAAAAAAGTCCCGCCGAAATTTCTATGATATTAACCATGTCAAAAATGTGACAGTAAACCCGTTACAAATATGGCGTCATGTTCCGACTACTATAAATTAAATCATGGAAATAGTGAGTCATTTCTCGAACACTCAACGTCACTAGTTCTCTAGTTCTGCATTAAGCAAGATTATACAGATTCAATTAAAAAACGAATATTCCTGTAAATATTTAGCTTATTAGAACGTCCTATCAATTCAATCTAATTGTTTCGTAACACATGAACCGATGTATCGATGTTACGGAGATGTGCGAGTATCGAACTTGGGAATGAAACGAAATATACCCGCTATGAGACGGAGTTTACAAAGTACTTCTAAGTAGGACCCGAAGTTACCACGGCTGCTGCAAAGCATCAGAAACGTCACGTCGTAGTTAGAATCAATTGTAAATTAGTTAGCTTAAATATTTCGCGTTTTAAACCGTTTAAAATATTTAAATGGAAAAACAGTGTACGTTTCTACTCACATATAAAGTAAGGATATCCACTTTGTCCCGTAATAGACTATGCGTGGATTAAATTAGATGACATTCAAGACGATGATACTATTGTAAATATATTGTTGTCCTAAATAGTTATTATAAGTAAAACTTCAACCACATTGATCGTATTTCTCTTAAAACCTTCGAATTTTAACATCTTAATGATTTAAGTTTGGAACCAATCTATCAAACGCCGATAACCTCCTGCAATCTCGTCAAGTCGTTTCGGCGTTAAACAGACAGACATACCAACTTTTGTAATTTGTTATCATCGAATATTTAATTTTCCTTATAATGATGTAAGTATGGTATGAATGATTTTAATACATTATATTAGTGTGCAATCTGCGAGTGTGCTGCGTAGTTTATAAGTTAGTTTTTCTCTTAAATATAATAATTATCTTAGTGTGATGATTAAAATTTCCAAATAATCGAACAGAGAAATAACAACTAGAAGTAATATCTAGTCTTTGACTACGCGATTTACTGTCTCATTTTTCTTAAAATGTTTCCCACGTTCAATTTCCTTCGTAAGAACAAAAGACCATTTTAGTGTTAATTTCCATTCGTCATAAATAAAAGCTCAAGAATATAATAAAACATTGTCCAGTTAAGCAGAACAACCGGATAATTAAATTACGTAGCATTAGTCAAACATTCAGAGAATTGATATCGTTAGGCACTTGTAATTATCTAAGAATTCGAGATAAAAAATTTCGTTCGCTCCCCTCCGTCCCCACGTGTCGTTGTAGTACACGAAAAAGTGATTACATGTGGCTCATTCATAGCGGCCATTCAGCGGAAACGCTAGTAAGGCTGCGGTCTGATATTAACGCCGTACCGTAATGCGATACGCTGCGTCAAAATTGTATCCTATTGGTTGGAAAGACGCAGTATAGTTCATAGCAATAGTTAGTAAAAATATATTCGGCGTTTACAACGTTTTTATATAACTTACTTACACGCCAAAGTTAGTGTGCGACCCTACACCAGTTTCACCGGCCATGTTGGATTTTGATCGATCAACGAGACTCTTAAACTCACTCTCTTAACTAAGCTCGTTCTCATTCTTCATTAAAGACAGTAATGAAAATAATTGATCCCGCGTTTAATTTAGTATTTAAGTCGTACATATTTTGAATCAATTGTTCAGTACTGGTACTTAGGTCTCAATCGTTGCTCAATTGATTATTAATAACTTAACTCTAGTTGTTAAATACTGTATTCATCTGTATAAACCGTAGTTAGACTAAACGTTTTTAAGATGCGTAAGTGTATCTTGACTTCGTTTATAGGAGACCGCAGCCTTAGTAGCGGCGACGAATGTGACGTACGAGTGATATTGCGCAAATATATCCAATTGTGTCACAATTAGGCACTATTTAGAAACGAATTGTGGACGTGCTATTTATTATTCGTAACGTCGTAATTTCTATGGTACAATACATCAGAGCTCGTCAGAGATTCTTCTCTTTATATTCTTCAAATAAAGGAAATGCAAGAACTAACAATTTGCCCTAATCATAGATGGCAGTCAATAAGTAACCACTAGATCAACGAAGCTGCATATAATCAGCTATACTAATTTAACGATAATCTATACTAATATATAACATATAAAGCTGAAGAGTTTGTTTGTTTGTTCGTTTGAACGCTCTAATCTCAGGAATCACTGGTTCGAATTGAAGAAATATTTTTCTATTGATTAGAGCATTTATCGCGAAAGGTTAGGGGCTATATAAAACTACGACCAATAGGCGCAAGGAAACAGTGGGAAATGTGGAAAAAACGGAGAAAATTGGTCATCCTTGTGCGTTTCCATTGCCTACACTACGAAAATGATTCAAGGTAACAAAAAAAATGTATAAAAGAATGATTCGTCTTTAAATGGTCTAAATTGTCCACGATATTATAAACTTGCAAGAATGACGGGACGCGAAGGACGTCGTGGGTAACAGTATAAGTTTTTTTGAGTTGAAGGAGGTTTGCAAAAACAAATTTGATGCCCAAAATAACAATTCTACGCGGACGAACTCGCTGAATTAGCTACTATATAATATATACGAGATAATAATGACTACTAATTATTATTATTTATATTTTAATAAATTTATTATTAAAATAAAAAAATAGATAATCACAATTTGTTATTTAATAAAGAAATCTTCGAAGAAAGTACAGATAATTCTTCTATACACTAAGATTTTATTAATATTTAAGCATCGTTGGTCTTGTTAATCCTTAGTTGGTTTTACTGTCCCAATAACCTTCTGCGCAGTTGTCATGACACGTGTGGGTATTAGCAGATGGCATTAGAAAATAGAGGCAATTTGATTGATCCGCACAACATTGTTGTCTATATTCTTGACAGAGCAATATCATTACGTCAGAGTTTTGGTAGATGATGATTCTTTTCCTGAAGATGTTCCCCCTTTACTGAAAGACACGTAAACTACAGGTTGCACGTAAATAATATTTTTCTCTCAAACATACTTGGAAATTTTACCATTATTTTGACCTGAGCAGCAGACGGCAATAGTTGAATCAGAATCCGTATATATCCGAATAGTCGTGTTTTGTAGCCAAACAAATTACACGTAGAATCATAATATTTCTCGTGCAATTA